TTACAACTTGTTAACAGATCTGTAACAAGTTGCGCGTTTTTACATGTGTAACACAATGTTGTTTTTTTCTTAGCATGCCACGCAGTGTTCACAAAAAACCAGGGGAAACTGACTTCACCCCAGTATCCTAACTACCCACAAAACTCGCGTTGTCAGTGGATTATCAGAATGGAAAAAGGGAAGAAGATTAAAGTGAAGTTTACGTATATACGTTTGAAAGGTAATGCTTGTGATAGGCTCCATTCCTGTAATATACAGTTGTCTGATTATAATTCCATCCCAGTCACATGTGAGAAGAGTGCTTCTAGGTTTGACTCTACCAAACAGCACAGATTTCCCTTGGCTACTCAGCTTTCCTCCTGTAGTATAACTGGATCGATAAGAGATTATCCTTACTGGAACTCCAGAGCTATCCAGTAGAAATAAGTTAGTTTAGTTTAGGTTTCCTCCTATAGTAACACTCGATCAATAAGAGATAATCCTTACTGGACGCCTGGGAAGAACAGTTTAGAACGGATAGAGCTATCCAGTACAAATAAAGCTAGTTTAGTTTAGGTTTCCTCCTGTAGTAACACTGGATCAATAAGAGATAATCTTTACTGGACGCCTACCAAGAACAGTTTAAAAATACAGTTTTTGAAAGCGGAATTCTGGCGTTTGAAAACCAAGTTCTGCCATTTGTAAAGGGAGTTCTGCCATTTGAAAAGGGAGTTCTGGCATTTGAAAACGGAGTTTTGGCATTTGTAAAGGGGAGTTCTTGCATAGCCTAAGAAGAAAAGTATAGAATGGATAGAGCCAGTATAAATAAAGTTAGTTTAGTTTAGGTTTCCTCTTGTAGTAACACTGGATCAATAAGGGATCATCCTTACTGGATCTCTATAGGGAGAACAGTTTAGAACTGATAGAGCTAACCAGCATCAACAAAGTTAGTTCAGTTTTATCAAACATCAGCCGTAAATGAGGAAGATGCTATTTCGCTGGCCTCAGAGCGACAAAACGTAACAAAGGAACGGTTTTACTAACACTAATCCTATTCCAAACACCAACTCTAATCCTAACCCTAACCTAACCCTACTCCAAGTTTGTTTCTAAACTAATCTTGAAGAAGAAAGTTTTGACAAAATGTCATTCTGAGGTTAGCGAAATAACTTCTTCCAAACTTGATCTTTCCTTCTTCTAGCCAACCGATCAAGATGCTCCACAGATAACATAATCGTAAGAAATGGGGAGAACAGCAAAGCGCCAATCTTGAAACTATTCTGTAGCAACAAAAATTCACCTGTGATTGTTCAGTCGTCGGGCAATGTGGTAACCCTGCAGTTAAGAACGAGCAACAACCTGCGAACGGGCGGTTTCAAGGCGGAGTGGACTTCTACGAATATACGAAAGGAAGGTGGGTGAGAAATTCAGCAGTTTCTAGTGTTGTTGGCAAAGTGGTTTGCGCATGCGTCTTTCATTCAGTTGTCTCGTTATAATTTCACGTCAATCACATGTGAGAAGAGTGCTTCCAGTTTGACTCTACCAAACACAAACAGGTTTTCTCCAGGTAGTACTACTTTACTGGACATGTAGGAATAAATAAAGTTAGTTTAGTTTATGTTTCCTCCTGTAGTAACACTGGATCAATAAGAGATTACTCTTACTGGACCTCTAGGAAGAACAGTTTAGAACTGATAGAACTATCCAGTATAAATAAAGTTAGTTTAGTTTAGGTTTCCTCCTGTAGTAACACTGGATCAATAAGAGATGATTCTTACTGGATCTCTAGGAAGAACAGTTTAGAACTGATAGAACTATCCAGTGTAAGTAAAGTTAGTTTAGTTTAGATTTCCTTCTGTAGTAACACTGGATCAATAAGAGATGATCCTTACTGGACCTCTAGGAAGAACAGTTTAGAACTGATAGAGCTATCCAGTGTAAATAAAGTTAGTTTAGTTTAGGTTTCCTCCTGTAGTAACACTGGATCAATAAGAGATTACTCTTACTGGACCTCTAGGAAGAACAGTTTAGAACTGATAGAGTTATCCAGTGTAAATAAAGTTAGTTTAGTTTAGATTTCCTTCTGTAGTAACACTGGATCAATAAGAGGTGATCCTTACTGGACATCTAGGAAGAACAGTTTAGAACTGATATACTATCAGTTCCCTTGGGCCTGCACGCAGGCTAGAACTGATAGAGCTATCCAGTATAAATAAAGTTAGTTTAGGTTTCCTCCTGTAGTAACACTGGATCAATAAGAGATGATCCTTACTGGACATCTAGGAAGAACAGTTTAGAACTGATAGAGCTATCCAGTATAAATAAGTATAGGTTATTTTGAGGCAACGAGGGGATATGTGATTTATTCATCGAGGCGCGCAGCGCCGAGGTGAATAAACACATATCCCCGAGGTGCCTCAAAATAACGTACTTATTTTTCACACTGCGAGGTCGCGTTAATGAGTCAGAAAAGAAATAATTCTTAATGCCATTTTGCCTTCGCGATGTTGTTTTTTCCTCATTTTTTGTGCTGCAAAGACATTGCAGGTGAATATTAGAGGAGATTATTAATTGCAGGTGAATATTAGAGGGGATTATTAAACGGAAATTGATTAGAGGAGAATATTGAATATATTCCCCGACAAGAACAAAGGAAACCGAGCAGGGTGAAAAATAAGTATAGTTTAGGTTTCCTCCTGTAGTAACACTGGGTTAATAACAGATGATCCTTACTGGACCTCTGGGGAGAACAGATCAGAATTGATAGAGTTATCCAGTATAAATGAAGTTTCGTTTTTCTTTCTTCATTTTTCAACAGTACCGTGTGGTAAACTGTTCACCGGTAATTCAGGCAGTTTCACTTCACCCCTCTATCCACAAAAGTACCCAAATAAAAAGGAATGTACCTGGGAGATCCGCGTACCCCTTGATCGGCTGCTGCAAGTCAAGTTCCAGGACTTCAATTTGGAAAAGCATAGCAAGTGTTCTTATGATAAAGTGGAAATTTATGATGGTGGCACGCTAAAATCACCGAAACGCACTTTCTGTGGAGACCAAAATCCTGGTAAGGTATAGTGGATGGGAATGGCGTGGAGGGGGGTTATTGTGATGATGATGGTTTGATGATGATGGTGATGATGATGGTGGTGGTGGTGATGGTGGTGATGATGATGGATGGTGGTGATGATGATGGTGGTGGTGATGATGGTGATGATGATGGTGATGGTGATGATGGTGGTGATGATGATGATGATGATGATGATGGATGGTGGTGATGATGGTGATGATGGTGGTGATGGTGGTGATGATGATGATGGATGGTGGTGATGATGGTGATGATGGTGGTGATGATGATGGATGGTGGTGGTGATGATGGTGATGGTAGTGGTGATGATGGTGATAATGATGATGGTAGTGATGATTTGATGATGGTAATGATGATGGTAATGATGATGGTAGTGATGATGATTTGATGGTGGTAGTGATAATGGTAGTGATGATGGTGGTGGTGGTAATGACTATTATAGTGATGATGTAATGGTGATGATGATGAATGGTGATGATGGTGATGATGGTGATGATGAATGGTGATGATGATGAATGGTGATGATGGTGGTGATAATGGTTATAATAGTGGTAATATTGCTGATGTTAACACACCATTTATTCTCCTAGGAACAATAACAGCTTTCACCAATCGGATGCTAATCAAATTTAGAAGTGATGCAACAAGAAATTATCGTGGATTTAAACTTCTGTGGTTCACATCCAGAAGAAAACTGCTCGGTTAACTATCAAGGTAAAATACTGTTTCATAATGACAGCTTTTTAATATTTTACCGACTTAGACTACGTTTCCACTATACCAAATAGCTTTGCGTAGCGGCGCGAAAACCACCTATCCAATACGGAATGTACAACTTTCAGAAGCTGAACGAAGCAACATCTCTCCGTTGCAATAATTCTTCTGAAAATAACGTTCCTAAAAGGTACGGATAGATGTTTTTCACAGAAAGCTATCCAGTAGTGTAAACTAGTCTGAGTTGCCTTATGAAAAGGAACTGTCAAAGGGAATTAGATTATCCATTATAAATTGTTCTTTGAATCATTTATAGAAATACATTCTGCCTAGAGAAATATATGACTTGGGTTGCCAACAAGACGTGATGTTGAGCATGTCATAGCGACTACATCTATTGTATTGTGCTAAGGTGTGCTACGGCTGAGGTGTTGGGTTCTTTTGGAGAATTCAGTATATATACACGTATTTTAAAGACGTAGGTTAAAATATTTAGTTATTTTTTGTAAATATTGACATGATAGCATTTTGGCGAGTGTGTTATAGCGAAATGCTGGGTACGTGATAGATTTTGTATAGATTATACTGTAGTGTTAAAATTTGTCTTTAATTATGTTTGAACTGAAAATTCTTGTTTATATAACGGTATAAAATAGAAAACCAACACTACATTTGTAAAGGGCGTTTGAAACGGAAGTTCTGGCATTTGAAAACCAAGTTCTGGCATTTGAAAAGGGAGTTCTGGCATTTGAAAAGGGAGTTCTGGCATTGGAAAAGGGAGTTCTGGCATTTGAAAAGGGAGTTCTGGCATTTGAAAACCAAGTTCTGGCATTTGAAAACCAAGTCCTGGTATTTGAAAACCAAGTTCTGGTATTTGAAAAGGGAGTTCTGGCATTTGAAAAGGGAGTTCTGGCATTTGTAAAGGGAGTTCTGGCATTTGAAAACCAAGTTTTGGTATTTGAAAACCAAGTTCTGGTATTTGAAAAGGGAGTTCTAGCATTTGAAAAGGTAGTTCTAGCATTTGAAAAGGTACTTCTGACTTCTGGCATTGTTTCGGTAAAAAAAAGAATGCGCACGAAACACCAATATTGTAATATTAATAAATAATAATAGTTTATAAGCAAGCATTAAAGACATTTCAAATAGTCTTTCACGGACGACAATATTAAAATGTAATTCGTTTTGGTACAAAAAAGACGGCGCTTGTATAATGTTTTCGCATTTACACCAAACAAAATAACATAAAACAAAAAAGACTTTCTTCGCAATTCACCCAACGCATTCTCTTAGCGCGGTTTAGCAACTTAGGATTATTACACTAGAATATAAACTCATTCACTCTTCTTGCTTAACGCTACTTGCATCTTCTTCCAAAACCTCATTTGTGTTGTCCTCTGCTTGCATAGAGTTATTTTCCGGTTGCACAGTGTCACAATTCTGTTGTTCAATGTTAGCAATGTCCTTGTTTGCCTGTTGTTGCTCTAATAGCTTCCTCGCTTTCTTTCGTTGATTATACGCTGCTTTCTTACGTTTCAAAGCTTCTTTTTTGATCGAGAGATCATCTTTGAATATTTCTTTAATTTGTTCATCAGTCGCATAGTTGCTCGACTTTAGTAACGTCAAGAAAACACCTCCGCTCGTTCGCCTAAAAGGAATGAAACGATTCAATTGATTTGTGAGCTCACGAGAAAATACTCCGAAGCTTTAGTTAAACATAATGGTTAATACGTAAACATGTCGAGGTTGTTGTAGTACAGCCATATTTTCAAATATACTGTACTTTAACAAGCAAATTTACTGTACTGTGCTACAGCAACTGTCCAGTCACGCATACGTGATAAAAAGCCGATATAAACTTTATAAACAAAAGATAATGTAAAAAACCCAGAATAATGGTAATATTGGGATAGTAGCGTTGCAGACTGCAGAGGAGAGTGGGCAGTAAGGCTCCCTCGTGCACCACCCCATGGAAAACTTGCAACCCTCCTTGTAGATGGAGTTAGATCTGCCCCTGGCTGTTGCCTTATAAACATTGACACAGACCCTACCTTCTTGATCCGTTGCATGTTTTCATTCCTCCATTCAGTTGTACTTGTTTTGTTTCGTTGAAGAGATCCAAAGCTTTCTTTCCACCGATGATTTTGACAGTTTCGATGATCAGTGAAAACTTGTGCTAGATTTGAACAAGAAAGAATAAACTAGTTGCAGTTACATCATCAGAAAAGTAAGTACAGTAGTTACCGACACAAGTTACAATTGAAAAAAAAACTTATGGCAAAGTTACATCCATTCCTTTGGCTAATAGAATTGAGAAAACATGTTATAAGTTAGACAAGATTTTTATTTAATTTGACCAGAAGAGAATTTTCGTCTTTTCTAATACTGTAAATAGTCCAGAATGCACTGTAGCACCGCAGAGGTAGCGCCGTGTGAATTGTGACGAAGATTCATGCAAGCACACAAAAAGTAACGGCGTTCTTGACGGCAAATGTAACTAGTTATCATTACATTTTATTCCTAATTTTTGTAACTAGTTAGTTACTTTTTTCAGAATGTAACTTGTAACTAGTTACCATTACAGTTACTTAAAAAAGTAACAAAAACATGTAACTAGTTACTTGTAGCAAAGTTACTCACAGCACTGCAAGTTAAGCAGTTAGTCTACTGTATATGGCAGTTGAGCAGAATCACATGTATGGCTACATAAGTTAGGGAACCATCCAGCGAGGCTACTTACAGTACGAGGGGCGATGCTACCTATAACATGTAAGCGAGCACAAATTGGTCAATCAAACAACTCATACTTCTTCAAGTCGTTCGGCAATTTCTTTCCCAACCTTGACCGGATTGTCGTACCATCTGACATGCAAACGTTTACACAAATTTTTCATGGACGGTCTGCGTGGAATATCGTCTGCTCTGTTTGAACTTCTTGTTGATGCATCTAAAACAACAATGAAATTGTAGTGGGTGCCCTTCTTAGATTATGAATAGTTTTGACAACTCATAATTAAATGAAACAAATGACCAGACAGCCGGCTACTTGCTGGTAAAACTGTTGGTAATTTTACAGCTGATATTTCTGGGCTGCATTCATTCTGTGGCATTTTTGTTAAAGTGTACGTCTATGAAATCAAAGAGTGCAGGTTCAAATCCTGTCAGGGTAATTTTGTCCGATGTAAAATATTTTTCTTAAAACTTTTTCTCATGACTTGTTTTAACTCTCAAAGGGTTTACTAGACCTGATAGGGTTAGAGAAAGTTTTTTTGCAGGGGGGAGAGATTGGTTTATTTTGTAAGGCCTGGTTTAGATGGGAACTTCTGGTGAGCCCAACCTAATATAGCCTGCAAATACAAACTCTTTGAATCATGCCCCATGGAAGAATATGTGCGACAAGTACATTCTTCCAAGGGGTGCGATTCGAAGAGTTTGTATTCGCAAGCTAAACCGAATACAACAATTAAGAACGACAGAAGAGCAGCGTCTAAATCAATTAAGTTCGGCAAGTTTTGATTATGTTTGTCACAGCACAAAATGCCACACAGGTTCGACATGGGTTTAAACGCTACATGCTTTCATGCAATATATCATATGATTATGATATATTAGCAACTTAGTGCTGAAATTTCTGATATAGTGTAGTTGTATTTTGGCACGGTACAATGTCTAAATCAGCCTAACTGGAAAGTTTGGAAATTGCACGCCGGATATCTCGGCCGCGCAATACAAACTTTCCACACTGGTAAATCAGCTGCCGAACTTGTGCCGTATTTAATTTGAATAGGTTCCGGCTGCCGGCAGTCTCAGGGTACAGTTAAACATACTCGTTGATTGTGAACCATCACTCCCATCTTGATTTGGACCTGTGACCTCATTCTCTCTAGAATCTGTATGACTGCCCTCCAAATCATTCGAGTCTGAATACTCCATAACCTCAACACCCTCCTCTCGAACGCCCAGGCGACTTTTCACCGAGCCTCGGGAACACAACTTCACATCATCCTTCAAATCATACTGCTCCAGACTTTGCAGCAACTTTTGTTTAGCTTCAGTCAACGATATATAATCGCTTGGGTCAAACGCAGTCTCTAATTTCACTTTTGTATCTGGTTTTGCGCATATTTCTTGCGTTTCGTCGTTTTGAGGCAATTCAGCATCGAATTCGTTGTCTTGGATGCTTAATTCCAAAGCATCGTCCATCGTAGATCCTTTTTGAAGCCGTAGATCGCTAAAATAAACAAATTCTGTTGTTGTTGTTGTTTATTTTGGAACATTTACCGCGAAACATAAAAATTCGCTTGAGAGTAACCTTTTTATATGGGAGTCTCCGCTGAAATATTGGGCTCATCGTGCTCACTACATTTTAATATTGCGGTCAGTTTGTGTACCAATTTGATATTATTAAAAATACTGGACAGTTTAATTTAAAAACGCTTGAAATAGCCATGATAAATTTATTTCAACAACACATATAGCAATGAAATGAAACGAATTCGTCTATTTTACTAATTTTCAAATGCTTTCGTTTTAAAATTTAAAATGTAAAGCTATCCAGTGTACGTTAATGAGACCAGTCGGTGGCTGACCGCAAACTACCACTGGAGTGCGCATGGATTTTTTTAATTTTTTTTTTTTATTGTTTTCCCATGTATATATATAAAAAAAGCTACTTAAAATATGTTACAATAATTTAAAGATTTTGGGCTAGATTTAAGTCTAATTTGGCATGAATTTTTTTCATTTATTCCCATTAGCTCTCCCACATAATATAGTAATTTATATTTTTTCCTTTTTTATGTACCTATAATATTATCAAACAAAGGCTAGAAGTCTTTCAGAAACCTATAGAGTCTTTTATTTTGGCGGAATTATCAAAACATTAAATAAACCAAATAGCCATCTAAAATATACAAAAACTTATAACTTTTTAGAGTACTCCAAAACGTTTTGGAAACCTCATTTATATTTGTAAGTCAATTTTTTTGAAGAAAACTATCCAAGCGTTCCAGTAAGTTTCAAGGTCAGTTTCACCCGTTCGCAGGCTACGCCTCGAATATTTTAACATAAATTATGATTTATGTTTGGAAAAATTTTGTTTTGACACGTGGTACAAATTTCTATATTATTTGACTTTTTTTTAAATTTTGTGTCGGAAAAAGACGATTTATTCAAGAATGACAGCGATCGGGCTTACTAAATTCTCAATGGTGAGTATTTGCGTTGTATTTTATTATTTGAGAGGCTTTTGGTAGCTTAAAAATGATTTAAAAGTGCAAGATTTCATAGAGTCGATAGACCTCAATTATTTTGATTAAGCGAACAAAAGATTATTAATTCAATAAGTTTACTTAATTAACTAATTTGACTTTATTTCATCCTAAAGCATATGACATTTAGGGTCTATTTATGTGGAAGCCAGGCTGGCCTGCTAAGCGAGACAGCTTGGTAAGCGAGATCTCGCTGTGTAGTTATTTTTGTAATAAAAATTATTGTGCGTTTATATATATGGACAAGTGGGCTGGCCTGGTTGCCGAGATCTCGCTTGAAAGATGCAAGTTCTTGCTTACCAGGATGGAAGTTTCTCCATATAAGCATGAAAGTTCAAAGATACCGCCGCAAGCTATTTTTAACAACTGTCAAAACAACAAAATTGTCCCGGCAAGCGGAATGAAATTTTCTCATACAGTGTAAACACAAGAGAAATTCATCCCGCTTACTGAGCTGTCTTGCTAAGCGGGCCAGCCCGGCTTCCATATAAACAGACCCTAAGTCAAGTTATTAACCCATTATTTTACTCTGTCAGGTAATTTATCAGATGATTTTATTCTTGAAGGGGTAATTGTTTTAATGAGTGAAATAATATGACTTACTTGTCAAAGGAGAGTGCTGGTACTTGATGGGTTATTACAATAATTATTTGTTTCAGTAAAAACAAGGGGCAACTATGAGTGATGTTGATGATGATTTGGAATTTTTGAGAGCTTTTGAAGATGAATTATATAATGATACATTGTCTGTCGGCAGGTACTAAAATACTGCACCATGCTGTAATATACCATGCTAAAGCATACCATATATACTGTAATATACTACACCACAGCATACCACAGCAACATTCTTGTCCCCAGAGCCATTTTCACTCGGTCACTCATTGAATATTGGGTTCTGGGTTAGATGACTAAAGGAGAGATCTGATTGACTTCTTAGAGAACTGCTATTTCGCAGAAGTTGAGCAGTTTCTGCTAGACAAAATTCTATCAACATAAGTCAACACAAATACTTCACATTCAAACACTTCATTTCTTCGTAATACTTCACTGTGAAATTTATTACTGGTGCTAAAGCATGCGCTTTAGAAACTATTGCAAGTTTTCTTGCACTTTTGGTTCCATGTGTCCCAGGGCCTAGGGAGGCCGCGTGCAACTGAGAGGCCCTGGGGACGAGGGTGAGCACAGCCTATGTACCACACCATACCACACCATATAGTGATATATACCACATACGACACTATACCATATACCACACATATTATACCATGCTACATCACACCATACCATACCTTACCACATTGTGCTACACCATACCATACAAAACCATGTTTTGAGCCTGAACTTCCAGCTCTCAAAATTGACCATCCTTTGGTAAATGAGTTGCTTTTGTTATTTCAGCGACGACAGTCTTGACAGTGAGTTAGAAGCTGAACTCTATCAGAATGTTCATTTTGCATCGTCACTTGTAGAAACACCAACTGATAATAGCAAAGGTATTTTGAAGCTGATCTAGTCAGTACACATGTACAATTACAAAATAAAAGTTACCATACGAAAACCTGTCAGGAAACTTGCTTGTCCATAACCCGCTTAATTTGAATTTATTAAATTTGCCAATAACGTACACACCAATGCATTACACAAATATTACAAATTACAAAAGACTCTAACTGGCAGGGGTTGGGTACAGGACTGGTGTCCCAATTGCCATCCTACCAGTTACAACAATGCAATACAATAAAAATTATACATCTTACTAAGAATAAAAATGAAACATCTTAGTACATCATCTATACTAAGTAGGTAGACTATAGGAATCCAATTTAGCAAGGTATAGTTAGTTTGGCTTTAAATAAAGCAAATGAATCAGTGAATCACAAGCCATCAAGTTTTAGAAGGAAAGCTATTCCAATGTTCAGCTGTTCTATTGAAAAAAAGCTAGACTTCCTAAAATAGTGGAAAATGTTTCTACATCAAATTAAATATTACAGAGGAGTTCATGTTCACTTTTTAAATTTTTAGAAGAAAAATGTTCTGATGAATCAGGTCACTTGACTAGTTTGGACTCCGAAACAAACGGATGTGATTTTGAAAACTCTGATAAACCTTCACTGACAGATTGTGTGGATGGGAAAGCTTTACATGTAGATCAAAAAGCAAGCCCTGATGTTGGGGAAGAACAACAAGAGAATTCAACAAACTTAATTTATCCAGGTTGAGTAATTAAAAGATAAGGCTCTCTCCTCCGCAAGGAAAACTAATTTGCAATGCAATTCACCTTTAACAGTGAAAACGTTGACCAAGATGGGATTTTTTATTATAAAGATATATTACATTTCATTTTTGAATGACCCAAATATTACACAAACCAAAAGTCGTATTGGGAGTTAGTCGCACTTAAACTTTAATCAAATTTGTCTGTTAGATCTGCAGAATGCTATATTTCATAGGGATTAAAATATGAAATTAAATTTCTGAAGTACCTTTTTTGAAGTTTCATTTCTTTAACCCTTTAATTGGCAAATGAATTTGCCCTACTTTATTATTTTATTCTGCCTACTGCCAAGACAATTTTACTCATCAATGGGAGACTGCTGGCACTCAATGGGTTAATCATACTGTCTGCCATAATAATAATAAAGTTTTAAAAATGTTGGAAGCGAAACCAGGATTCATAATTAATTGTGTAAATGTTCTCTGGTTAAAAAGATTTATTTAGTCGAAAGCTTGTAATAAATAAATCTTTTTAACCAGAGAACGTTTACACAATTAATAATAAAGTTGTTTTTCATTGTTTCAGAGGTCGAACTAGTATTTTCTAAGGATGAACCAAAGAACAAATTGCACAAAGCCAAGGTATTTGACGTTTTCTAATCATGTAATGCTGAATTCATGTACGCAGACATATCATAGACTTTGATTGTCTATATGGACAGATCAACTGTATAGAGACGCGACAAACTGCCCTTGCAAGTTTTACTAATATATGCAAACAACCAGCTCTTGTAGTGTTGTGGTCGACCCACTCTTGCCTTTCAAGGTCTTAAAATAATTGAGGAGAAAGTGCTACCTTTACATTGACATCAGTAATTATGGTTAGACTTTTGTGTTTTCTCGGATAAGGACGTTAGACAGATATTTATTTTTCCCATATATATATATATATATATATATATATATATATATATATATATATATATATATATATATATATATATATATATATATATATATATATATA